ACAAATGAATTATTAAACATCAAATAGTTATTTCCCGTGACAGTTTCCAAATGGACTGGATCTGCACTAACAAGTAGTGAAATGTGCCTCCAGCTGCCTTGCAGCTGTGGAAGAAATGAATAGCAACTCCAGTGGACTCATTTTACCATGGCAGCAGAGCACTGGAAGGCTCACCCATCTGTCAACACACATTTCTCTTCCAATTTCCTCAAGACCCTTCTTGAAGTCTTTCTTGTTTAAAGAAAAAATCAAGAACTATTTAAAGCAGCAGCTTTTTTATAAGGGCATTTCAAGTACAGTCAATTCCAGATAGCTTACTTATAGGGTGTCAATGTTTTTGAATAAAATCAAATGACACACCTGGCCTGTGTGGCTCAGTGATTGAGCATTGACTTATGAACCAGGAAGTCAGGGTTTGATTCCCTATCAAGGTATTTTCCTTGGGTCTTAGGCTCAATCCCAGTAGGGGGTGGGAAGTGGGCAGCCAATCAATGATTATCTCTCATTGATGTTTCTTTTTTCCATTCCCTTCCTCTCTGAAAAAAAAAAAATATTGTTTTTTTTTTTTTAAGTATGACATATGAGGAAAACTATCCTGTAAGTAAATTACAGTTAGAAAATTTTTACTTTAGAAAATTAACTTTCATTTGTAATGCTAACAAGACACCCATTAAAAACACACATGGGGTCAAAACAAGCCAAAGGAAAATCATTTGGGCAAAAAATGAAAAAGGATCCCAAGTCAAATTTATAGAAAATATTCCTTTATTAACTCAAATTTATAGAAAATATTCCTTTATTAACTTTTGGTTGAGAATACGTTTGTATATTTTCAGAAAACAACTCCAAGACCATCTGGATTCCTGCACAGAGAGGAATTGACAAGACTGCTCCAGCCATGAAGACAGTAGAGAAACAGTCCAAAGGTGGAAGACACTGAGGATACCTTGCCATACTACCCTGTTTCTCCAAAAATAAGACAGTGTCTTATATTATTTTTTTCTCCCAAAGTTGCGCTAGGTCTTATTTTCAGGGGATGTCTTATCTTTCCATGTGCTAGGTCTTATTTTCGGAGGATGTCTTATTTCTGGGGAAACACAGTAGCAGTCAGTAGCTATGCATCACTGCAGGTTGCCCAGGACCAAACCAGAGAGGGTCGGACCTGCATTACCACCATTTGTCCACCATCCAGAACTGGAATATCATTACTGACATGTACACATAAGGAACTGTTTGACATAGAAATTGAGATTCAAAAGAACTGTTGCCCCAGAAAGAAACTCACTACAGACTGATTCATTTGCCTCTCAGCATAACCATTATTGCTTGTCTCATTTTTTGGTTCTTATAAGTGTATATTTTTGTATCACATGATCTCATTCATCTAGTGGAAATAATGAACAACATAAACTGATGAACAAAAACAGACCCGGAGACAGGCAAGCATTGATCAGACTGTCAAACCTCAGAGCAAAGGTAGGGGAGGGTGGGGGTAAGGGGGAGAGATCAACCAAAGGACTTGTATGCATGTATATAAGCCAAACCCAGTGGTCATGGACAACAGGGGGATGGGGGGCATGCCTGCGGAGGGGTTTGGGATGGGAATGGGGGGATGAGGACAAATATGTGATATCTTAATCAATAAAGAAAAAAAAAACAAATAAAAAGCACAAATAGTATTTAATAGTGAAAAAATAAAATAAAACAAAGTATGACATGTATCCTTTTCCTCATATTGACCCCTCCTTGGCTACTCCCACTTCCCCAGGACAAGCCCCCACCTCCCCATTGTCCCTGTCCTTTGGTTATGCTAATATGCATGCATACAAGTCCTTTGGTTGATCTCTTACACCCCCCCCCCCCCCATCCCCTGCTCTCCCTCTGAGGTTGGACGGTTTGTTAAGTGTTTTTTGTTTGTTTGTTTTCTGTCTCTGGATCTATTTTTGTTCATTAGTTTATGTTGTGCATTATATTCCACAAATGAGGGACATCATGTGATATTTGCTTTTATCCAACTGGCTTATTTCATTTAGCATAATGCTCTCCAGATCCATCTATACTGTTGCAAATGGTCAAGGTTTCTTCTTTTTTTTATCTCAGCATAGTATTCTATTATGTAGATGTAACTCAGTTTTTGTATCCACTCATCTGCTTATGGGCACTTAGACTGGCTCCAAACCTTAGCTATTGTAAATTGTGCTGCTATGAACACATATATTTCTGACTGGTGTTTCTGATTTCTTGGGAAATATCCCTAGGAGTGGGATTACTGGGTCAAATGTGAATTGCATTTTTAACTTATTGAGGAAACTCCATACTGTTCTCCACAGTGGCTGCACCAGTCTACATTCCCACCAGCAGTGCACCAGGGTTCTTTTCTCTCTGGATCCTCACCAGCAGTTATTGTTTATTGATTTGTTGATGATAGCCATGCTGACAGGCATGCAATGGTACCTTATGGTTGTTTTGATTTTCATCTCTCAGATGTTAGTGTTTGAGCATGTTTTTATATTTTTCTTGTCCTTTGTATGTCTTCTTTAGAAATGGGTCTATTTAGGTCCTTTGCCCATTTTTTTTTTTTTTTACTAGATTGTTTATCTTCCTTTTGTTAAATTGTATGAGTTACCTATAAATGTTGGAGATAAAACTCTTATCGGTGATAAGATTGGCAAATATGTTCTCCCATGCAGTGGGCTTTCTTGTTGTTTTGTTGATGGTTCTTTTTGCTGTGAAGAAGCTTTTTATTTTGATGTATTTCTATTTGCTTATTTTCTCCTTAGTTTCCATTGTCCTAGAAGCTGTACTCGTAAAGATAATGCTATGACATAGGTCTGATATTTTGCTGCCTATGGATTCTTCTAAGATTTGTATGGTTTCCCTCTTACCTTTAAATCCTTTATCCATTTTGAGTTTATCTTTGTGTATGGGGTAAGTTTGTGGTCTAGTTTCATTTTTGTTTTTTGCATGTATCTGATAAATTTTTCCAACACCATTTATTGAAGAGACTGTCATATTCCATTGTATGCTCTTGACTCCTTTGTCAAATATTAATTGAGCATAATGGCTTGGGTCAATTTCTGGGTTCTCTGTTCTGTTCCATTAGTCTATTTGTCTGTTCTTGTGCCAGTACCAGGCAGTTTTGAGAACCATGGCTTTGTAATATAGTTTGATATCTGGTATTGGGATCCCTCCAACTTTGTTGTTCTTCCTCAGGATTGCTGTGGCTATTTGGGGTCTTTTTTATTCCATACGAATTTTTGGGGAGTTTGTTCTAGTTATTTGAAGTATATCAATGGTATTTTAATGGGGATTTAATTGAATCTGTAGATTGCTTAGGTAGTATGGATATTTTATTAATTTCTGTATTGATTAAGGTATTACATATGTGTCCTTAACCCCTCATTGCCCCCCACTCTCCCATTCATGCCCTCACCCCCCCTGTTGTCTGTTAGTATGGACATTTTAATGATGTTGATTCTACCAATCCATGAACCTGGTTTGTTCTTCCATTTGTTTACATCTTCCCCTATCTCTTTTTTCAGTATCCTGTACTTTTCTGAATAAAGGTCTTTTACCTCCTTAGTTAAGTTTATTCCTTGGTATCTTGATTTTTTTGTTGCAATGGAAATGGGATTTTTTTTAGTCTCTCTTTCTGTGAGGTCATTATTGATGTATAAAAAAGCCACAAATTTCTGGCTGTTAATTTTGTATCCTGCCACATTGCCAAATTAATTTATTAACTCTAATAGTTTGTTGATTGTTTAGGGTTTTCTATGTACAATATCATGTCATCTGTGAATAATGACAGTTTTACTTCTTCTTTTCCAATTTGGATGCCTTATATGTCTTCTACTGTTCTTAAAAAATGCCTTATTAATTAAGGTGTTACATATGTGTTCTTTTCCCTCCATTATCCCCTATCCCCCAACTCATGTCCTCACCCCCCTGTTGTCTGTGTCCATTGGTTAGGATTATATGCATGTTCATCAGTTTATATTGTTCATGATGTTCCATAAATGAATGAGATCATGTGATATTTATTTCTCTCTGACTGGCTTATTTAATTTAGTATAATGCTCTCCAGGTCCATCCATGCCTTTGAAAATGGTAAGAACTCCTTTTTATCACAGCATAGTATTCCACTGTGTAGATATACCACAATTTTTTAATCCACTCATCTGCTGATGGCACTTAGGATGTTTCCAAAATCTTAGCTATTGTAAATTGTGCTGGTATGATCATAGGGGTGTATATATCCTTTCTAATTGGTGTTTCCAGTTTCATTGGATATATTCCTAGAAGTAGGAATACTGGGTCAAATGGGAGTTCCATGTTTAGTTTTTTGAGGAAACTCCATACTGTTCTCCACAGTGGCTACACCAGTATGCATTCCCACCAGCAGTGCACGAGGGTTCTTTTTTCTCTGCATCCTCTCCAGTACTTGTCATTTGTTGATTTGTTGATGATAGCCATTCTGACAGGTGTGAGATGGTACCTTATTGTCATTTTGATTTGTATCTCTCAGATGATTAGTGACCTTGAGCATGTTTTCATGTTTTGTGGCTTTCTTCTGTCTTCTTTTGAAAATTATTTAGCTCCTTTGCCCATTTTTTGATTATTTCTTCTTTTTGTCTGATTACCATGGCTAGCACTTCCAGTACTATGTTGAACAGGATTGGTAAAAGTGGGCATCCCTGTATTGTTTCTCTTCTTAGAGGAAATGGTTTTAGTTTTTACCCTTTGAGTATGATGTTGGCTGTAGGTTTTTCATATAAGTTTTTTATTATGTTGATGTATGATATCTCTATTCCCACTTTGCTGAGGTTTTTTGTTGTTGTTGTTTTATCAAGAAAGGGTGTTGGATTTTGTCAAATGCTTTCTCTGCATTAATTGATATAACTATGTGATTTTTGTCTCCCAATCAGGAAGAATAAAAAACTGAATAGGCCAATACTGAAGAAATTGAAGCAGTAATAAAAAAATTAAAAAAAAAAACACCTTGTGTGGTCTGTTGTTACTTCACCTCTTTCATTTCTGATTTTGTTTACTTGGGTCCTCTCTCTTTATTTCTTGGTGAGCCTGGCTAAAGTTTTTATCAATCTTGTTAATCCTTTCAAAGCGAGCAGAATGAAGAAAATACCTAAAGATCAGAGCAGAAATAAATAACATTGAGACCAAAAACCAAACAAAGAAAGAAAAAGACCAATACATTTTTAAATTATGTGGATTTTTAAAAAATTTTAAAAATCAATTGACTTCCTTATTTTATTTTGCCAGCAATCTCTTTTCTGTTTCACCCTCTAAATGAGTATACTGAAAAATAATAAATTCTTTAATTAAATTAGTTACAAACCAAATAGCACCTAATATCTCCAAGCAAAAAAAAAAGCCAATTAGAAAAGACTTTATCCTATGTTCTGTTTGTATTTCAAAGGAGAAGGAAAATATTTTTACTAGAACAAGCTAAATTTTTTGATATATGGTTGATGAATAAGTTTTACTGGAGCACAATTCCACCCTCTGAAATATGTACCACCTCTGAAATATGTACTCAT